CTGCAATAATCTGCACATGGCTCTGAATGCAGGCTGGTAGAGATAGGACATCTACAAGTCACAACTCTTACAGGATCCCCATAACCTGATCTTTGATTCAAGTGCAGCGTTTTGATATCCATTTTCAGGTAAAGCTAGGTCACACTCTAATCACAGACTGAATGCCAGTCTCTAAGGACCCCATACTGCTATATGAGGGCAGGGTTTTCAAATCCCTACGACTTCTACCTAAAGCCCTGCGCTTTCCTTTACCTACTTCCTTGGAGGACCCGACACCGGCCTAAGAGCCTACGGCCTCCATCCCTCAAGAACATTGATTTGAGAGGCCACCATGTCGGTGTCAATGGGCTCCGTTTCTCGGTTTTCGATTCCTTGTGCAAACTGGACCTTGGTTTTTTGGTTTTAAGCAAAATTTTCCCGATAAAATTGTGAAATTTTCTTTGAACTCTAGAAAAAACGGAAACTTATCAATTTCTCGAGCTGTGGGAGGGGGGGGGGGGGGTGAATTCGCCCAAAATGCCCAGTGCCCACCCTGGAACCACCAGCGAGGTTTTGTGTTTTGGGTCGGACCCCCCCAATCCCAAAACCGTGGCGGAGCCCCTGGTTCGAGGGCGGATACAGTTTTAACAATACAAAAAATATTTTGCACAGCTCTATTCCTTGAATAATTCTCTTCAACGCCTCATTCCTAGTTAAGCGAATTAGCCCACCCTGGTTGAATAAATAAGGCGATTTCGCCACAAGGTCGGGGAAAACCGACCGAAAACGGCTGCGCTCAACGTTAATTTGGGCATGCAGACTCTTAAAAACTCGCATTGGGCGGGTAGGGTTTCCCAGATATTGGCTTCAAGACACCGTATTCGGCTCCCGAATACGTCTAAGTGACCCGCCTCGTTCCTAGTTAAGCTCTAATTATATCAAGTGACTCATAGGGAGCGACAAAAAGCATGAATTTCCCTATGGCGGCGGGCTGCCTGGTTGCCAGACGGCGCACCGGCTATTTCCACTTTTGACACACCATGTATACTGTATAGCTACATTAGTTTGAATTATTATTTTTTCATATCCCCTCATACTTGCTGCAAACTTACGTCTCCTTTTATTGGCTACATTTTCATACAATACCACAAAGGGTCGGGAAAACATATTTTCAGGCCAAAGTTTGTCGCTCATATAAATACAAACAAATATTCCTATTGTCTTGCTTGAACGTGGAAGTGCTTTTCGGTGATGAAGAGAGCTGGTTAAAGTAGCAAAGTGGGATGACCATCGAGGCAATCTTCCATGACTATCGAGCTCAGGCAGTAAACAACATCCCAATTCTCCCGCGCCCTGCTGGGGGGAGGGGGTGTTTGATCGCCTCCTGCGGTTTTTCGCGAATATGTTTAAAAATGGCGGGGCTGAACACCGCCATTTTCGCACTACTTATCATACCTCTTTTAATCACATGTGAAGATTTCAGATCAAGGTCACTCAAGGTCAAGTCACCAGGTTGCGTCAAGTGACCTAACTTCATAAGCATTTTTAAATCCCTGCCTTAGGTACACTGAGTGACTGATCGCTTTAAAACAACTTTCAGCGATTGATTAGGGCAACAGAAGGTACGAAACGTGTGTCTCGGAAGTTTGAATCGGTGACCTAGGGTTAGGTCAATTTTGCGACCTATTGGGAGAAAATTGAACGGCGCCTGTTTTGGAAGGACGTCATTTTTAACACTATTGAACATCGAATTTCAAGTAAAAATTACACACTGAACTAGAAAATGGCTTCCGTGACCCCTCTTTATGTAGGTACCTGAGGTCATCTCAGGCCACGAATGGTATTTAACGGTTTGCGCGAATAACATTTGATAGAGGCACGCTAGGGCGATGAAAACGCGTTAGATGTGTTCAGCTCTACGATACGAATCGACCGATATGCAACATGCCCCTTTCCGGTCAGGCCTTGCCCTGAGTTCAAATTTTCAAGTTGATCGTTCAAGGTCAACTTATCCCGGCAGTTGCTGGGGTATTTCGCCACCCGCCGTTTGCTGGGGGGGGGGGGGGGGCGTTAAACGCCCCCAGCCGATAACTCGAGAACCAATAGGCGCAGCGAAACGCACGAGGCGGCAAACGAAAGAACGCGACGAGACGCTTCAGATGAGTACTTGAATGAAAGTTGAATTTTTAGAACACAGGTCGGGTCAAGTCAAGGTCAGGTCAAACACCTGAAATCGGGTTTTCAGTAGCATGGAATTCAGGACTTTGCAATGGGCGCCTCTCGTCATACCTCTGTCAAAACGGTGCACAATCCTTCATATAAGGCCTACAAGAGTGTCAGCTCCATGTAGGGGTCAGTCAAGCATAGGTCAGGTTCCAGGTCAGGTCAACCGGGTAGGCACATATCCCCGAAAATCAAAACTGATATTCGCAGCCTGTGACACATTTTTTATGGGTAGTTTTGGGCGTCGAACACGTTGGTGACATTCATTTTATCATATGTGTACGTGTTTGGTTCAAAAAGTTCAATTTAAGAAATGCATGTATCATGGTCGTGAAGTAGTCACGAGAAATTGCCAGGACTCAGTTCCAGATTTTGGAAAATGCGGAGCGATAATCAATAATCGAAGATAGCCATTTGATTGTTCTGACCGATTGTTTTGAAACTTTGTCACAATAAACTTCAATCAATTCCCTACAGGTACCCAAATTTTGGCGCGCCTGCGGCGCTCCGTTTTTATCCTATGGCGCGGTGAAAAAAGTGGGGGCGTTTAACGACCCCCCAGAAACTCGCGGGTTATACATTTATGTAGTTCATTCAATGCATCTTGGCGAGTGGAACACGATGCCGGTAAAAGTAAGCTCGTCGAATTTAGAGTCTAAATTTATTGCCGAAAAACTGTTTCCACAACAATTGTCAATATTGGCAGTTTTTGCCCCCTGCAAGCAAAACCGTTAACTTTAGGTGAAATCTGAGATAATTATTCAGAAGGAGCGTTAACTTAATGGAGCTATCAAATTTACTTTTCCTGGACGCTGTAGCGCTATTGGTTTCCGAGTTATACGCCGGTATGTTGAAAGCTTTCGACATTCCACCTGCAAATAGGCAAAATTTGGCTTTCGATGACCTCTGGTAACCTTACCTTTGTCCTCACCGAACAAGTATCCGAAATATTTTCGTCACTGCTTTGACGCTCTTTCGAACGCCGCCTACCCCGTGTCGCTATGTGGCCCAGGAGCCGAGTTAGAAGTTGGAGGTCCTGTTCAAACACACACCCCCAGCAGGGCGTGGAAATCCAGGACCCCCAGCCGGGCCGGGCGCGGTTTTACGAAAAACATGTTGAATAATATGTTAACAATATAAAATTTCTATAAATGTAAATTTACATCTTTAAGCCTGGGTAATTAGGCTCGTTGAAATAATCTTTTTTTGCCTTTACTGATCAACGTAAATAATACTTGGCTGCAAAAGCATCAGCGTAAGCGAAAATGTGAGTCATTCACAACTGGTGTCATCTAACTACACATATGTTGCGCAAGATGTGCAACTTTGTTTACCAAAGCGGAAAAGCAAAGAAAGTGGCCGTGCGGCCTACATTTTACTTGCAGCTGGCGCGGCGGCTCGGTGACTGGTGCGGTATAACCGCCAAGTTGCATCAGCTCACATTGAAACAGAGGACTTTCATTCTTCAGTCGGTGGTCGAAATAGCTATATGTTGGATGTTGTATCAGTATTTGACGTTAGATGAGCATTTAGCCAAGTAGCAGAAAAAAATAGGAAGGCATCATCCAAAGCGGTGCTGATGTCATATTGTGTCAGTACCAGTACCAGTGTCAGTACCAGTACCAGTACCAGTGACAGTGTCAGTGTCAATGTCAGTACTAGTACCAGTACCAGTGTCAATGTCAGTACCAGTACCAGTGTCAGTGTTAGTGTCAGTGTCAGAGTCAGTGTCAGTGTCAGTGCCAGTGCAAGTGTCACTCGGAAGGTCAGTTCCCACGGCTCTGGGGTTACGTCAGAGGGTGACGGCACGGGGTTCTCTCAGTCCATGCGGGCCTGCGTCCTCGTGTCTTTATGTATGCAAACTCGATGCTGAATTTATTCAGGGAATGTGAGGTCATGGCGATCAGCTGAGTGTGGTGTCACAATCAGTTACAAGTGTTTCCGTCCGTGAGAATGACAATATACATCCACATGAAAATCACATTGATAATTTGCTCAGCTTTATTGATTTATACCTAACTAGTTGGGTGTGATTCGCATCATGGTCGGAATCATCCCTAATCATATCTATAATAGTATACATGACATTCATTTGTTGTGTATTATTTACCGGCGCTCCCAAGCTCGAATATCCCATTCCCGTCAGTGCTTTCGATGCAGTAAACGATCGCAGTGCAGTGCACGTTCGAAAAACACAGGTTATTGTGTCTATCAACACGTCTACCGCCTGGATCAGATTTTCTCACCACATGGCGTCTGGAATCTGTGGACTTTGAACCTGAGACTGGTTTAGAACGTGACGGGAGGCACTCGGGAGGGGGCGAGGGGGAGCATGATGACGGGTTCAAATGTGGTTGGGGTCGTGAGGAGAAGGAATGTTAGTCTTTGTAAGCCGTGTAGAAGAAATACAGGTGCCATAGGAGACAGGCTGAGAGAACACTTCAAAAGAGACTTGTGGTTGGAATCTGAGTTCCTTTGTAACAATTGTTACCTATGCTACTTGGGTTTTACATGCAGTGCCCCTTAAGTCGCACCATAACATAATAAATAAAATGAACCGAAGTCTGTTATACGCTATGGTCGCAACCAATTAAAAATATTTAGAATGTGAATTCATGCCATATCTGCATTCTACAGCAACTCATGACAATATAGTTGGACGAACCATTGTTGAACTAAGCGGTCTCGATGGTTTTCATGTCATGTACAACTGGTCATGATATCACAAACAGCTCTGCTAACATCCAAACACATTTCTCATATCCAGTCACCGATTCCGGTCCGTATTTTCTCCGCAG